CCACTGTGCTGGAATCTTATACCCTAGGGTTGCAAAAACTCCACTCCTAGGTTTGTTCTGTGCCAGTCCTAGGGCTTGAACTCAGTGCCTGGGCATGTCCCTGAGCTTTATTTGCTGCAGGCTGGCACTCTACCACTTGAGCCACAGCTCTACTTCTGGCTTTTTGGTAGTTAATGGGAGATAAGAGTCTCACTGAGCTGGGCGCTGGTGGCTCACGCCTGTAATCCTAGACACTCAGAAGGCTGAGATCTGAGGATCACGGTTCAAAGCCAGTCCAGGTAGGAAAGTCCTGTGAGATTCTTTTTTTTTTTTTTTTTTTTTGTCGGTCGTGGGGCTTGAACTCTGGGCCTGGGCGCTGTCCCTCAGCTCTTCAGCTCAAGGCTAGTGCTCTACCACTTGAGCCACAGCGCCACTTCCAGCTTTTTTCTTTTTGCTTATGTGGTGCTGAGGAATTGAACCCAGGGCCTTGAGCATGCAAGGCAAGCGCTCTACCACTGAGCCACCTTCCTAGCCCCTAACTTGTAGTTTTGAGAGACAAAAATGGCTTATAGTGGAGCACAATTAGCTCAAGCCTATAATCCTAGAGGCTGAGATTTGAGGATCATGGCTTAAAAGCCAGCCTGGGCAGCAAAGTCCACGAGACTTTCATCTCCAATTCACCAACCAATTGCCAAAAGTGGAACAGAGGTTCAAATGGTAGGACACTAGCCTTGAGCAAATAAAGCTCAGGGACAGAGCCCAGGCCCTAAATTCAAGTCCCAAACTAAGCAGTCATCCTTATGGATTTATAAGGGACTTAAGCAGAGGTGTGTCCTCACTGTACCTCCCTTTTGGAAAGAGGAGGACTTGGGATCCATTCCTAGAAAGAAGGTGAGACTCCATGCTTTCCCTGCAAGGCTTGGTTCTAAGGTCCCTGAAGATGGGACTTTGTATTCCAGGATTATAAGGGTGGAGAGGGGGGAGGTGTCTGGAGGAAGGGCAGAGTTCAGCCTCTGGGTGCCTATGAGAGGCAATGTCTGATCTCTGAGGACAGATCTTGGCTAGGGGATGGACAAGACAGGAAGAGAATAGGATTTGTGGTGTCTAGGGTGGAGAGTCCAGATTCCTGGGTCCTTGGAGTTGGGTCTCTGGAGGGGCCAGGGATCCCATCTGTGCATTCGGAGGTGGGGGAGGGTCAGAGGGGAATCCAACTCAGTCGTCCCTGTATTGTTTGATGATCCTTCTATGGCTCCCAGTTCATTGAAGCCAGGCTGGAGAAGCTCAACACAGGACAGGGGTTCTCAGACCCATTTGAGCAGGAGATTACCTGCTGTGGGGCTTCCTCAGGTGAGTCTGGATCCTGGCCCCCACTCTCCAGAGCACCCCACCCCATCGGCACCTGTACTGACCACCTTGCTCTCTCCCCCCATCCCAGGCACCCTGCGCTCCTACCAGATCTGGGCAGACAACCTGAAGGTAATAAATGCCCCCTTCACTACAAGGTTCTACTCCTTCATGGAGGTGAGGGAACTGAGAGGGAGAGGGATTTTTCCAGTGACACACAGCCTGGGGCATGGAGTCTGGGGTCTGGCCCAGGTGATCTCCAAGATCCCAAGCCTCTTCCCTTTGGTGTTTTCCTCCCCAGAAAGGTGGCGGTGCTCTCCTGCATTCTGTGAGATCCAAAACCCAACCAGCCGTCAGGAACATGTACCGATCGGTGAGGTTGGGCTGGACAGGCCAGGCTTGCTAGGGTGATGAGGGGAGGGGACATAGGTCATTTCAGTCCCAGCAGACATAGGAAGCACACACACTAAGCACGCACACATAACTGCGCCAGCAGTTATTGACAATTACGTTTATTTTCCATTTGCCGTGCCAGAATCATTATTACCCATTTAAAATTGACAGCCAAGCCAGGTGCAGTGGTACACACCTGTAATTCCAGTTATTCAGGGGGAAGAGCCTGGGATGATCATAGTTTGAGGCCAGTTTGGGAATTTAAAAAAGTTAGGAAGACTCCATCCCAACTATCAAGTTGGCCTTGGTGGCTCACACTTGTGTTGGGAAAAAAAAAAAAAGTGAGACCACATCTGAAAAAATAATGAAAGCAAAAAGGGCTAAGGACATAACTAAGATGGTAGAGTGCCTATCTAGCAAGAGTGAATTCTTGAGTTCAAACCCCATACTGCCAAGGAATAAAAATATCACGGACAGTCAAAACTTATCCATAAGTATCTTTTCTTTCCCAGATACATCCCCTCTTTTCTCCTTTGTGTGTGTCCCTGCCCAAATATTTTCTGGGCCTTTTTTCACATCAGAATTGTCCACTTGTAGCCAGGTGCTGATGGCTCACACCTGTAATCCTAGCTACTCAAAAGGCTGAGATCTAAAGATCTCAGTTCAAAGCCAGCCAGGGCAGGAAAGTCTATGAGACTCTTATCTCCATAAAAACTGGAAATGGAGCCATGGCTCAAATGGTACCTCTAGCCTTGAGCAAAAAGAGCTCTGGGACAGTGCCAGGCCCTGAGTTCAAGCCCACAAATGACACCCCCCCCCCAAAAAAAAAAAAAAACCTGTTCATTTGAGCTGGGTGCTAATGCCTCACTCCTATAACCCTAGCTACTCAGGAGACTGAGGTCTGGGAATGGAGGGTCAAAGCCAAACCAAGAGACTCATCTCTAGTTAATCAACAAAAAGACAGAATTGGTGGTGTGGCTCAAGGGGTACAGCATCAGCCTTGAGCAGAAAAAGCCAAGCAAGAATGCAAGACCCTGAGTTCAAGTCCTAGTCCTGGCACATGCACATATATGTACATGTACACACACACAAACACACACATACCCTTTCCATTTAATTTATTCTTCCTTGAGTGTGAGCCGATGATGCACTTTTACAAGGTTTTTGCCACTCCCTATTTTATGCAGGGTGCTTCCCTCCATAATGCTCCGCTGGCATGTAGTCAAAGGGGCAAAAGGTAGCACTGCCCAGGCGCCGATGGCTCATACCTGCAATTCTAGTCTGAGATCTGAGGATCTGGGTTCAACGCCAGCCTGGGCAGGAAAAAGTCTGTGGAGCTGTGGCTCAAAAGTGGTAGAGCATTAACCTTGAGCAACAAATAGCTCAGGGACTGCACCCAGGTCTTGAGTTCAAGCCCCACAACTGACCTTGCCCCCCAAGAAAAGTGAGTCCAGGGGGTGATGACTGTATTTGGGGGACACAGGAAGTAGGGCAAATTACAGCTGTCCCCAGAACACAGCTGATCTCAAGGGTACAGTGTCCAACCACTCACCAACTTCATTCCTTCCCCACTTTCCCACAGGCCAAGAGCGGCTTGAAGGGGGTACAGAGCCTGCTGATGTACAAGGTAAGTGGGGGGGGGGCACAGCCAATGCCTGCAGGAGGAGGTAAAGGGGGTGGGCTCCAGCCCAAAGTGTTCACTTCCTAGGATGGAGATTCTGGGCTGCAGAGGGTGGGGTCCCTGAGAGTCCCACACCACCCCAACCATCTACGGCAGAAGCGCCCCCCTGTCACCCAGCACTTCAGACAAGTAAGAGTAACCCCCCTCGTCCCCCACACGCCCTCCCCAACCCCCCACTCTGCTGAGAAATATCTTGCTTCTTTTCTCACCCCAACACCTGCAACCCTGCTTTAGGAAGTCCCAGCCTCCCCCCCCCATCCTCCATCCTAACTTCACCTCCCTACTCCTGTCTGCAGAGCCTGCCTGGACACCCCAGCGGATTCCAGATGGCAGAGGAACCTTCGGGACCCCTGGGGGACAGGTAGCACCTGGGTGTGTGAGGGGTCCATGGGAAGCAGAACAGGATAGGACTGATGGAAAAGGCCACTTTAGGGCTGGGGTGGATAGGGGAACGGGGGACCCTCAGGCAATTTATGATCAGTTATTTATTATCTGAAATTGCCCCTCCTCCACCCAGGATATCTCCCCTGGGCCTCGAGGACCCCCAAGAAACTCTGGATAACAGCTTTTTGGGGTCCGGAGAAGAACTAGATTTGCTGAGTGAGATTTTCGACAGTCTGAGTGTAGAAACCAAGATGGCAGGCGGCTTGAGACCCAGCCAGAGTTTACACTGTTGGCACCGAGGGAATTCAGACAGCTGCTTCAGCCTGGTGAGATGCCTTCCTCCCTCCCATGCTGCCCCCCCTCCAACCCCTCCCCCTCATCTAAACATTCCCCCACTGCCTCCTCCAGCCCAACCTGCCAGGAAGATGGCCACCTGAGGAAGAGGGACTGCCAGAGCCCCAGCCCCTGTCCCTGCCTGGGGACCCGCCATCCTTACCCAACACCCCGACTTCAGAAGGGACCTGCTCTCAGGTGCTGTCTCCTCTCCAGCCCTCCACCACTTCTGCAGACCCAGAATGTTCTCCGCCTGTCGCTGAGGGACCTAGAGCCCCAGGGAACCTGCATCCTCGGCACCCCACAGCACCTACCCAACCCAACCTTCCAGAGAGCCCTGGGTTTCTGGCCCCCACAAAGCCAAACTCTGGTACTATCTGCAGATCCCAATCTCTTGATTCCTCAGCTCTCAGTTTTCTAGAGGACCCCAGAACTCTGCCTCTACACTGCTCACTAAGACCTAAGGATCCTGGGGCCCCCACTTTCCCTGCCTGTCCCACCAACAAGAAGCAAGAGCCCCAGGCCAGGAGACAGACCCGAATTGCTGATCTTAAGAAGTATTTTGAAAGTTAAGAATCAGGGGTCAGGGGGAGACCCCGCCCCCACCCCGCCAGTGCCCCAGTCTCTTAATAAAGCCACAAAGAACCCAAAGCTGTTGTTGCCCAGTGAGTTTATCTGACTGAGACTTTCTCTCTTGGCCTGGTAGGACACCCCTCCCACCCACCTCCTTCCACCAGTGATTTCTCCCTAGCTCCAAGCACCCCCTCTTCCAGGAAATCCTCCTAGATATCTTGACCACCTCACAGTGCATCCCGGCTTCATCTAAAGCTAAGGTTTCCCACCAGCTCAAAAAGAAAGAACTTTATTATGTCTCACTACCAATTTC